ATCATTGCACTCATAATCGAAATTTTGTTACTAATTACCATGTTTCTCTTGCAAATCAGTATATCCAGAAAAATTATAATTTGTAATTAAATAAATTAAATCTGATTAAAAAGAAGTGAAAAGCAATTAAAGATCTAAACTTATGCAGATTAGGCATTAATTTTTTTTTTTTTATAAAATTAGTTTCTTTTTTTTTCTTTTTTTTTTTTTATGAAATTAAATAGTTTCATTTATCTTAGGTTAAATTTCAATTATTTGTTATCTTTGTCGGGAATTTGGTTTCTTTATTATTCTATAAAATGGTTATTGTATTGTAAAAAGTTCAAGATTAAAAGTATTATTTCTGTATTTGACTTTATATAACTCAGTAATAAAGCTTATAATTGTATATCATCATATGATTGGGTGGCTTTGAATTTCTAGCAACAACCAGTGATTTTGCTTAAAAATAGCTAATACGTAGCAGAAAATACATATATTAAATCAGAAATATTTTTATACATATATATATATGTATATACTATATATATATATACATAAAAACAGCATATTATTACATAAAATTTTTCTTAACTATATACAGAATTTGGTCTAACAAATTATCATCTCTGCTCTAGCATGATTTAAGTTTTGGAACTATCTCTGAACCAAGCCCTGAACCAAATCTAGTCTGACTTAGGTCCTGAGACTGGTTCTTAGACCAAGTTCTAAACTAACCTAGCCTAACCTGCGAAATTTGAATCTGTGCCTAGTTTGTTAATCATCATGCAGAGTTTGTATAACATCTACGAATAATACTGGTATATGCATGTAATAGCATAAATATCAAACTTTATTATTTTAATTCCAAGTTATTCAAAGTGATTTATTCAATCTATTTATTCAAACCGATTTATTCAATCTATTTATTCAAAGCGATTTATTCAATCTATTTATTCAAAGCGATTTATTTAAAATGATTTTTTCTTACATAGTTTTCATATATTCTTAGTTTTTTCTTATCATCTTAATTTTTTTTATCATAGTTTTCTTAATTTTCTCTTACGTCTTTAGTGTTTTTAACTTCCTTTTACATTCTTAACCTCTCTTATATTCATAAAATGATTACAAAAAGACTATCTTATTTTGTTTCATCTTACGTTTTTAAAATGCTTACAAGGCAGCTAACTTTATCTACTTTATACCATTAGGTCTGTTTTCTTTTAAAGCCCGATTCAAGTTATGTAAGCATTTTTTTGGGTGTCTTTTCCATGCTGGCATAATTGAATGATTTAGCTTCTGGGTTGTTTCGATATCGTTAGCTTGAGTGTTTTTTCTTGGTCTTCCTTGATGAATTTTTCTAAGCCCATGACTTAAACCAACTCTACGTCATGAAGTGGCAGTAACTTGAACTCGTATTCTCTTTCCTCCCCGTTGATTAATTTTACCGTTAACTTGACCTGCATTCCAATTACAAGTATGAAAAAAGGAAGCCAATGCTGGAAGAATATAAGTATTTTGTGCAGACCGATGCTGTTTATATATTTCGACAAACTTCTGAATGCCACTATTTAACGCATAGTTATTTTGTTTCAAAAGGCTCTCTAGGTCATTATAGAACTAACGAAACTTATCTATAATATTTTCATTATTATCGTCGTTAATATCAATATCACTAACATTATAATTAATATCATTACCAGTGACATTATCATTGCTATCAATATTATCCTTGCTATTATTGATATTATTCTCACTATCATTAATAGCGTTAATCTCATTCTCAGCATTATTAATATTGTTAATATTATCATAGTCATTACTATTGTCATTAATATTATCACTAGTGTCATTACCACGGTTACTATAAAAGTTATCACAATTATCACTACTATCGCTATCATCAATACTGCTACTCATACTAACATTATTATTGCTTTCTTTCTCAAGCTGTTCTTGATGAA